TTATGTAAATAAATGTCTGAAGAAAATTTAATTTCTACTAAAATTATCATACCTCAAGAAGTACAAACAATCCCATTATTATACCACTAGCTAGATACAGTAGTACACGTTCATGTATTAAACCAGGTATATATACAAGTACAGCTAGTAAGTGAAATATTTTCCTAGTTGAAGTTGTTGCTGGAAGTTTTAATAATATCTGGTATGTAACAACAAGTACACCTAGTAGTAAACAAATAGCCCAATATCCAATTAAGACAATCTGTAATATTCGCAATTGTTAAAAATAATTTTCTATGACTACAATAAATATTAAGAACTATCATTAAATATACCTTATTTTTTTTATTCAAAATAAAGTAAAACATCCAAGTTAAGGGATTTTGGTCCAATAAAGCATACATTAGTGGTAAAACTACAATTGACAAAAGAGTGATTGTCATTATGTAAAAATTTTTGGTCATATGAAACATTGGAAAATAACTAGACATTAAACAGACTGATATTACATATAGCATTGTAACCTGAAATTATATTTTTAAATTATTAATTTTATCCAACTTAATATTATTGAAAAATTTCCTTTAAAATACCTGCAATAAAACTGTTGCAATATCATCATCATGAATTGGTGGCAAGTGATATCTTAAAGGCAAGTTTGTTACTACAGACATCAGGAACAAGACACAACCATGCATAACTGCTGTTGCTTCTCCGATTGTAAAGCAACAAGGAAATGTAGACATCAGTTGAAGAACTCCCCATGTACCTAAACTTCCAATGCCTAAGCCCCATGTGACACTCACCAGTAATCCTGTTCTTATTTATCCATAAGTAAAACATACTAACTTTAATTAAAATAAAAATGATAATGTATAAAACAAACAATTACATAAAATATAATAATCATAATAACTCTAAAAAATTGTTTTACAAAATGAAACATACTTTAAGGGGGTATGCAACCATGGAAGCCTAAAAAAGTTGGGTAAATCTAACATTTTTTTTCGCCTATAAATATTTGATAAAAAGAAAAAAATGTTAATAGGAAACGTTAAGCAACATCTTAACTCTATTTTCATATTTTTCTTATTACTTTAAAATTATAAAATAGTATAGTTGTACAACATTATCTAACTCCATGTCCAGCGGAACCTTGTTAGCTTGCACTCAGCAGTAAAAGTGACTGGAATATAGAAAATAAAAAATTTTGGTGTCAACTTAAACAAAAATAAATTATCATTTTCAATAATTTTGAAAAATGAGAAAATGACGGGTTGTTAAATACGAAACTTTCGTTTTTGCTGAAAAAAATCAACTTTAAATGTTTATAAAAATTCAACGAAGTAAGATATCAAAAAAATCCTATGCTACATTATAGATTGTTTTATGAAGAATACTGTAAAAATTTCAAGTTAAACGAATAAAGAATTTCTGAGATCTACTGGGTGCAAGGCCAAAAAACATAGTTTCGAGAAAAACACATCTAAAGTTTTCAGTTAATCTTTCTTTAAAATAAAAGAAAGTTTTTAAAAAGTCACCCTTAATATGCGATTCCGGGTCCATCAAGAGACCCTTTTGTCTCTAAAATACCGTCAGATTCTTGTTTCTTAGCTGCTCTTAGCAGTTGTTGAGCTTTCGAATATTCCGAAGACCGAATCTCCGCATGTCTTAGCCGTCGTTTGTCTATTCCTTCACAAATATTGTGTGCATTATTTCCAATCTTTAAATTCATAAGTTGCATCATCGACAGAATGTTTCTATAAGCATTAAAAATACTAACACCAATAAATGCTGCAATGTTAACTATTCTTTTGCTACAAAATGTTGTTTTTGAAGCAATTGTCTAATATACTCTGTTAACATAATTTAAAAATGTACAGTAAGGTAGTTTTCCTAAAATTATATCAATAAGCAAACGTAAAACGTCATATTACTGATAAGAAATTAAATGAAATCTTTCCCTTTTAACAGTGTTACATCGGGCCATCTTACCTGACATGATATGCAGTTGTTTTCAGTGCTGTAACTTCATCAATTTTTTGAATTTCAAGAAACCCTTTTACCACAGTATTCTATACATGCAAAACTTTAAAAGAAAGACAAACAAAATTTTCGATTTTTTGAAACCGACAAGGTTGCATACCCCCTTAATTTAATTTTAAAAAATTTATAAAATGTTAAGCAATATTTTATAAATTGATATACCTTTATTTGCCACAAGAAGATATAACAAAGATGTTATTATGGCTGGTAGAAAATATATAACTTGAAAATCTCTAACTGCTACTTTTTCTGTTGATAATTTCAAATATAAACATATAGCACTAACAACAAGACCTACTCCAGTGAGGCCTACAATAAGGCAAATTTCAGAGTAACTAGCATCTTCTTTTAGTAAAGTCAGAATTGCACTTAAACCTACTAATGTTCCAAGCCATAGTCCACAGTTAGCTTTTATCCTGAAATTATTTTCTATTAATTTATGTATTTTATTACTGTATATTAATTATTTCATATATTTCATTAAAAACAAATCTGTTTAAAGGTACTCCTATCATAATATCACAAAAATTGTAAATAGATTACTGAGAAGATATCAAATATACAAGTAATTTTAATTTACATATAATTTTATATT